CAGTGAGTTCCAAGACTGCGCCTATAAAAAGCAAAAACTGTACCTGACTCAAATTGGGCTACGAAGTAGAATGGGACATCTAGGGAGGCTTCCCAATTGCAGCAGGAGCACTGGGAGCAGTGTATCGCTGCACAAATGGATGCAGTCTTGATCACACCTAGTTAGACTGGTTAAGCAATTTGACTGGATTTGTATTTTTTCTTTGCAAAACAAAAGAAAAGATGTGAGAGATCATATTAAAAATGTGAAACTGAGCTGCTTCTTCTGTAATTCAGAAATCACCCTCCCACTGCACCGGACGATTTTCAGCTCTTGACTAACCTTTAGAAAGGTCATCTTAAAATAATGTGACAGAAAAGGTAACAGCGGTACAAGTACAGTACAGCATACCAGTATCCACAGAGAGAGTTATGAGTTTCACTTTACAGCTACAGTAAAGGAGAAACTTATACTGGGAGTATGAGAAACAGTCTCCTAGAATGACATTGTTGTCTCACACATAAAACTCTCAAGTGCATATATGACGACCTAACAGGGTGACTTGGCTGCAGAACTTGAGTATGCATCTGGGAAAGGGGAGGAATTCGACCCTTGACACGGTCCAAAAAATGTTACTGCATTTATTCTTTGGCTGATAGTTTGAGGTTCTTTTCCCAAAGACTTGCAGCTTTTTTATTTTCTTTTTGGGTGAAGCCGAAGAATGAGGAGGCCGGCGTTCCCCACCATTAACAGGACAAAGGGAAACTCCACTGCCTGTTGTGAGAACAGGTAGACGGCGATGCCCTGCAGGAATCAGAGAGGGAAGTGGCCTGCATCATCGTGTTACTTTTTAAGATTAGTTTCTGAAAGGCAGGTGCGAGCAGGTGGAAAGACTAATATGAAAACAGATGGTCAGACTGCCGCTCTGATGCATCATAGTAGCAGAGAGCAGATATTCACATGCAGCAACAAATGGTATCTGAACAGTTTATTGTCAAACTCTCCAGACAGTGTTCATCCATAAAGAACCAGACAAATAATACACAGTTTACCTGCACTGCAGAACTGAGACCCTGTGTGCATATGTCTGTGCTTAAAGTTGTATTTTAGGAATTAACAACTAATAACCGCGATAATATACGTTAAAATGGGGAATTTTATAGTTGTGCTAAAACTAAGGTAATCTTCTGCACATTGATTAGCAAGGAAAAACAACAAAACGACGTTCTCGCTAGTTGAAAACGAACCTGCGGTACATTCACATAACTAGAACCAAGGCTACAAACGGATCAATACAACCCACAACCGAAGATTAAGAGTAATGGATTCTTCTTGGAGCCAAGCATCTGAAGTCATCTCTCAGGACAACTAATCATTGTTCAAATAGTAATATCATAAACTCAGAGAGCAAAAATGTAAATGTAAAGAAGTCACAAAAGCACTGAGGCTCGGTTGTTCAAGACGGAGGTGTTTTTCTGCATTCAAAACGATATGCACGAGTTTGTTGGAGTCTTTGTGAGCTCATTTTGATTCTGGGGGAGGGAAGAGCCATATCGACAACATTGGAAAATTCTTATTGATTATTCTTCTTTTCTCTGAGCACCGGCTTGTTAAAAAAAAAAAAAAAAAAAGAGCCCTCTTGGAAACACGATCAATTAGTGAGATAGTGCTTGCCATTGATCACCCCTCTGCCCTCACAGGGCTCTTGCCTGACGATGGATCCCTCCACACACTCTATATGACCAACTATTGATCTCAGCTTCTTAGCCAAATATAAAAGCACGCACTCACACTAAGCGCTGACCCCTCCCATCCAAACCACACAGTCTAATACTAATACTGACATCTGCTTGTCTCCATTGTAAACCCCATGGTTTGCTCATAAATACTGAGGCCAGCTTTGGCTCAAAACCAATATAGTTTCTCCGAGGTCAGGGGTCAGTATGGCAATAATGCCACCGTTAACAGAGCTGCCCGGGTTTATATCAAGAACTTGTCAGAGTAGATGAGTTTCACAGAGTGTAAGCAGTGAAGACTGGCGTTAAAACTTTGGTATCAGGCTGTACATGGGCCTGGTTGTTATGTTTTTAGGAAATAAAACCCAAACGTGAGAGTAAAATAGTAAATTCTCATCTGGATGCAGCTGGAGACAGTGTATTTTTGGATTATTATCACCAACCACTAACCCCTTCAGCACACATTTTATGCTTGAAACAGAGGATTCACTTAAATGCACTCATCAAAAAAAAGAGAAGTAGTAAAGACATCGACTGCTTGAGTTAGAAGAGGCACATTTATAGTGATGAGCCCGGAGACATCGATCTGTCTATCTTTCTATTGATCAATCATCTAACCAATCAGTGGACAAGTCAGTCCATCAGTCAAAGATAAGTGACATTCTGCAAACAGGGAAGCCACATTAGGCCTGTGAGTACAGCACTTCACCAACGTTATGATTAGACAATTGTAAAACTATTAGACACAGCAGGCGGCGGGGCATTAGATAATTCTCTCCCATAAGCAACTTGAGTCATCTCTTTGTCAGCGTGCTGCCCTTGCCCTCTTCATCCCTCGGTCCCTCCACCCTCTGTCCCTTAACCCCTCCCTATGGATCAGCTGTGATCTCCTCTCTCTCCTTTCACTCAAATCAGGATTAGGGAGAAGGGGAGATGGAGGGGGTGCAGCAGCAGCAGCAGCAGGAGAAGGGGGAGAGAAAACTGAAACAATATGGAAAGGAGATTAGAAAAGAGGGGGTTTGGGCCGTTTGGGGAATTGCAAACTCCCTTGTGCTTGGGTAGGTGTCCTAATGACACCGCCTAATTATGGCAAAATTAGACAGGCTAAAGGGAAGGAGGGGGGGCGGTGGTGTTGGTGGTGGTGGTGAAGGAGATGGCAACGTGAAGGAAAAAGAAGAGAAGCAGGGGAATTAGGCAATGGGGAGTGAAAATGGTAAGTGCACAGTAGGAGCATGGGAGAGCCGACGGAGAGAGCGAGAGGGGAGGTGTGCAGGAGTACAGATACAAGCTGGGAGGAAGGCAGCACGGGGCTGAGAGTGGGAGAATAAAGAGAAAAGAAAAAGGGTAGTGGCTGGGCGATAGGAGAGAGTGGGCCCCAGCACGCTGCATGTTAATTGGAGAACAGGTGTTGGGGCTGGGAGCAGGAGGCTGATTACTGGAGCCACAGAAACAGACCGTCTCCTCCACACACACACTCACATGCACACACACATGCGCGCGCACACACACACACACAAGCACGCACATGCACACACACACACACATGAATAATTTAAGAACCAAACAGTGTCTAGGGAAAAAGGTCAGTATAGGGGTCACAGAGACACATAGACAATCGCACATACATCCATATACATACATAAGCAAACGTGCCAGGATCCCCACACAGGCATAAAGATATACATCCGTTTGTAAGCACACAAACAATGTATGCATGCTGTGAACAAGCACACACAGCTTGCTCTGCCAATCTCTTCACTTTCTCTCTCTTTTTTTTTTCAGTGCGCACACAACGAAAAGTACCCAAGAAGTGGGATAAAAGGGCACGGGGCCACGCAGAATTCCATTGGCTTATCAGAAATTAACTGGCTGCTAATAGGCGGCTCCCTGAGGAGAGGATTTTGCAGGCCAGTCAAGAGGGAGAAGCCCCCATCAGGACGGGATATGCCCAGTGTGATTAGAGAGTACAGTAGGTCAATGATTCCATTTAAATCAATCCTCAGAGCTGCACAGCAGTCTGCACACACACACACACACGTATACACACACAAAGAGTCACAAACATGTATAGATTGTTTTTTCCCCCACCAGCACACCAAGCGACTCGCAAACAAATTTCCAAGAACTTTAGCCATGTTAGGAGGATGCGTAAAACGGCTGAGGAGGGGGTTAATGTGGGAGTAATGTGCTACAGTAAATGGGAAAAGCAGCTGCTCTAAGGTATTCTGGGAAAATTCAAAAGACAACAGCCCGATTTTTCCGTTATATGAAAACTATCTTCAGCTGAGATCCTTTGAGACACACTGTCAACAGCCAGCCAGCTTGAACTGAGGAGGGGAAAGAAAAGGGTCCTTGACGTATATGAAGTGAGTGTTTTCTAGACAGACAATTGTGTAGCGAAGGAGAGAAGGAAGACGAGGGAGAGAGAGGAGGGAGCGAGGGAGGGAAAGAGGTGATGAAGGTTGCATCCATGAGATCACAGAGAAAGTATTTCACATACGGTCCACTTATGAGCATTCATCACACTGGTTAATGCCAGGCAGACAGTGCGAGACCTCCAAACTCCCCCGGACGTGAAGGCTCTCACACACGCTGATTACAGGGGTGGTCATCTGCCTTTAAGCCCGATAACTGGCTGTCAGGGTGAACATTTACTACATATGTGAGCCTGTCTGCCGGTATGAATGCTCCACATGCTTCTGATAAAAAGGAAATCTATGCTTTTGTCAGGCTTCAGGTGCAATGTTGAAACGAGTGACCAAATTGAAACAGATCCCAGCAGGCTGAAGATGGATCAACAGATAAACAGAAAGCTGAGGAGAGAGAAACACATGGGAGACAGACATGGACACTGTGCTGTACAGTTCAGCCTGCTTGGATTGGTGCAGTGTTAACCAGCACGGTGAATAAACTGGCTCTCATGAACACTTTTCACCGTCTTTTAAATATTTATATGTGACTGCACAAATAAATATTATATGTGAACATATATGCAACACAACAGAAATACATCGAGGCCATACGTGCACTGAAGTAGGAGGTTCTGCTCTATATGTAACTCCTTTTGATTCTGTGGTTACTACTTTTAGCAGCTGTAAATGCAACACCTGATTGGTGAGATCCCACCTCAAGAACCTTCACATCAAAACCATCATCTCGCTGTGTCGCCGAGTGTGAACACGTGGGTGCGCAGACGCGAAGAAGGGTCAGCCTGAACATTATGTACGGAAGAGGTGCTTGTTTGAGGTGATGGACGCCGTGTGGGACGTGGTTTGATCTCATTACCTGTCAATGATGACTGGATCAGAGGGCGTCTCGTTTCGATTGCCACAACTTTTCTTCTCACAACAGCGGCTGAGTGGGCGGTAAAAGAAACAGAAAAGAGGAAAAGTCAGTGTTGGGGAAAGAAAAGGGGGGAGAGAGAAGAAAAAAAAAAAAAACAAATTAAACAGGAGGAGCCGTCGTTTGTCTGGCCCGTCCACATCCACAGGCCCGGGCTACTCTGCCTCGCAGTCGGCCAAGATCCAGGAACACACAAAGGAGGCATGAAAGGGGAGGGGAAGAATGGACAAAAGAATAAAAGAGGAAGAAAAGGTACAACAACACACCCTACAAACAGTGAGAGACCATTCAAAAGTGAAAAGCCAGCCAGGCAATCTGTCACATTGATTTTGAAATCAAACTCAACCCCCACGCAGCCTCACCGCGCACACACACACACACACACACACACACCGTCCCACAACATCCTACCATTCGTCAGCAGTCCTGTCCGAGGAGCCTGCTGGCCACCCCCCACCCCTTCCCCAAAGTCCCCTTCACTGCATAACAAAAGTGCCCCCACCCCTAACCATCTGCCACCCCTACACCTCGCCTCACCCCTCTCGTGTCCCAGCTTGGCCCTGCCCTGCCCCCCTCCGCCCCCCTGTCAGACGGCCTCACTCCCCAGCTGTGACGCTTGCCCTCTGCCTCTTCGGCTCTGTTATTAGCCAGCTGTGAGTCACATTCGGGCATCTGCTGGCTACACAATGGCAAAACCCACTCCGTCTTAGCCCCTCTCCCCGTGTCCCAGCCCCCTATCCTTCCCTCTGCTGCCCTCCAATCCCAGGTCACTGCCCCACTTCCACATCACTCTCTTCATGTTCTTCTCCATCCTCAGCTCTCTGATCACCTACTTTCTTTATTCACCAAAAAAAAAAGTAATTGGTCCCAAAACTATGACTAGACTTCCTTAACTTGCTGTGTTTTGAAACAGCTCTCCGACACTGGCTGCACTTCTTTTACACTTGTCATCGCATCTTGACAAAGTTCATACATGGTGTCCCGGCCAAACATAAGTGCCGGAGTTGTATTTCGATGAGCGAAAGGCGGCTTGTTCCCTGAAACTGTCTGGGGCTGTCAGTTGAGGTTTGGCTGTGAAACCCCAGGCCAGAGAGAAAGGAACTCCAAGAAGAAATCAGAGCTGGCCCAGGGACATGCTGCGTTACAGCAGACAGCGGCAGGGGGTTACCACTGTAACAAGGATGATGACAGACAGGCACGACTTACAGTTCAATAACAGACTAATTCTCAAAAAAGTAGTGCCCCAAGCGCCATCCCAAAACCACATTTCAAGCTGTCTGAGACAAAACAGAGTGAAGGAGAGTAATGGATATTTGGATTTTGTCCCTGTGGGTGAAGGTTTCACTGAGTGTGTGTTCATGTGTGTGTGTGTGTGTGTGTGTGTGTGTGTGTGTGTGTTAGCGCTCACCTGCACATAACCTCGTGTGTGAGCAGAACTCTGCACATTTCTGGATTCTTGTTTTGTCCCTCATACGATATGGGCTAAGAGGAGAAAATAAGGAGCAACGGGACAGATTCAGTTTCGTGCAGGATAAATAAACTCCTGTTTATACAGCTGAAAGTGGAATCCCCGACAAGAAGACTTAAGGAAAGTTTACCGACCTGTTTAGTGACGGAGTCGATGAGTCGTGCATAAAGATCTTGCTCGGTACGAACCCCTGTGGAAGGAAATTGGAGGTTTTCAATAGCTTTAGAAACTTATTTAAGGTAAGAGAGATTTTAATGAAGTGGAACAACTTTTCCAATCAAACTGCTGTCGCTTGTCCTCAGTTCTTCAGTTAAATGTAACGTTTTATTAAGCAGCTAACACCCTTTATCACCAAACAACATTAAAACAAGACTCACTTAGCTCACATTACTGTATAACCAGGCTGTCAAATAGAGTTCTTAAACTCTCTAACCTGCTTCTTTTCAGTCTATAAAAACTTACATTGCACAGTAGATTCTCAAAATAAAATGGAACAATTTGCGATATAAATCATCCTTTTTCTCAAACTCTGGACGCGCTCTCAGACAACACACTGAACTCTGTCCAGCCAACATGGAGGAACAAGATTGGCATGCGCTTCACATTTTCTCTCTGATGGTTTCTGTGGGGATTGGGAGTTATTTGATGTTTGATGATTATTAGTCATGTTCTGCTCTGAGGCCACAGTTTAAAACGAGATTCTCACGATTTGTCAAGCTGTTGTTTTTGTGGTCGTTTCAGTGTTAACTTGTTAAACAGTCCCAAGTTTAGTGTACTGACAGGAGGTTATGTTCTGCACCAGAACAGGAACTGATCAGTTCGTGGAAGGATTTTAATTGAAAGAGAAAAGGTCTTTTTTCAACATTTTTCCTCACTTTTCTGTGATCAAGTAAACACCTGAACCTCTGGATGCTTTAAACCCTCCTCTGTAAATCACATAAGAGAAGGAAACAACATGTAATGAATTGCTTCTTGAGAGAAGAGCGCATTACCCGTTTTTTTTTTTTTCTTATAGAGACTTTGGAGAGTATCGCTTTTAAAATGTGTTCCTCTCATCAAAGTCTCGATTGAGATGCCTTTGATATCGCTTGGGGGAAGGGGATGAGAGGAGGGGATGTAGAGGAAGTGCTTTTGGTGTGCTTGTATGTACGTATGTGTGTGTGTGTGTGTGTGTGTGTGTGTGTGAGGGGGTTGCTCTGGAACATGTCTTTTATCTTCTCTCCCATGGGTGCCAGTGCGATGGCAGAGTATAGGGGCAGCAGTGGCTCATGGGAACCAAATTTCTCTGTGTATCCCCTGATCTGATGTGGAAGCACCATGGGGGGTTGGAGGAGCTGGGAGGAAGAGGAGGGGTTGGGAAGGGGATGGCAACATGTACCCCAGTGTACCCAGAAGTGGCTGCTCGCAAAAAACCCAACGTTAAACTGTACAAACCCAGTGATTAGACAACGAGCTGAGGGTAATTTAAGAGAGGAGAGGAGAGGCAGGGAGGGAGGAAGGTTAGTTAAGTGGAAAGTTGAGTGACTTTTGCAGCTCCTGTGATATGCAGGGCTTCGCATGGCGCCTAAATGAGGGCAAAGAACCAACCCACAAGCTGCTCACCGTTGCTGTAGAGGAGCTGCAGCTTGTAGTGTGTGCCGTTGTTCGTCTTTTCTCCCGTCTGCTCCTTGGAAAAGAGAGGACAGACACAGAGGCAGAGCATGCAGTTAAACACACCGAGAGAACTACAGAACACAGCGTTAAGCACAGTGAGTCTCTCCTAATCCTACTGCTCGCCCTTCCCATGGAGCGGCGTGGAGATCAGAGAGTTGTCGGCTCAAAGCTCATGTGGGACCCCGAGTTGTGCTCATAAGCTGAACGCTTAACCTTGACTTGGATGTTCTTTGTGGAGGGTTGAACCATCATCTCTGATACAAACTCTTAAAAAGCTGATATCAAATGCAGCGGTCCTTTCTGCAACGAGGTAGCAGGAATGGTTATATGTGCACGTGTGTGTGTGTGCAAAGTGTGTTCCAGCGAGCGGAAAGTACTGTGTGTGAGACTGAGCAGCAGTCGACCTTGACAGAAAAACTTCCTTTCCGCTATCCCTCCTTCCCCCAGGCTCTCCACTAGCCTCGCACTTCTTCCTTCGTTCCCCCTCTCTGTCTCTTGTTCCCCCTCTTTCTTTCTCCTCCTCTACCTCTACTGGTCTTTCTAAGTGGTCTCAAAGGAATGCTCTCTGGTCCAATAACCCAGGAGGCTGGCATCACAGAGATGAGCGCAAGAGAGGAGAGGAGAGAGAGAACAGGGAGGTCGGTGGGGGAGTCGAGAAAGTGGAGAAAAGGGAGACAGCTACGAGGAAGGGAAGAAGAAGAAGCGGGGAAATTAAGATGCATGTGGATAAAGTTGGAAGGTAACAGGCTCAAAACTTGGTGCGAGAAGTGAGACTGAGACACCCGAGGAGATGGATGGGTGCCTGGCTCCATAAGTTTTGCAAATATACACAGAGGAGCATTTATTTCACCGTGCCACCGCCGCTACCTTCTGCATAATTACAAAGCAAAAACAGATGCCAGGGTAACCATGCAGAAAATGAACTTCTCCACTGCCATCATATTAGTCTGCACTGGCCTGTGTGGCACAAAGGGGAAGCACACTGACAGCTTTCACGCCTGGCATTAGCACGGCAACCTTGCTCACTCCCTACCAGTGCTAAAAGTGTAGTCTGAACTTCAGCTGACAGGACAGTGTCCCCTTGTCTTTCTCTTGGGGTAAAGCTGTTGCCACTTAAGGAGATTCTCGCTCCCCTCACCACAAGGCGAAAGCATCCATCAACGCCGAGGCACGAGGCTCACTCCAGGCGGTCTCTTTCTAACTCTGTCTCCACACTGCACCCTTCCTTATTTTGGTCTTGTCCAACCTGAGGAATCCAGCTTCCCCCCACAGCAGTATTTTTCGAGGATGTGAGAGGGGCACGAAGGAAAAGAGACTTTGATGATTAGTTCACTGTATAACTTAACAGGAGCAAGCATAATTTGCATTTTAAAAAGTAGTGATGTCCTCCTAATGAGGCAAGCTGCTAATTAGTCATTAGATATTCTTTTTCAATCCCACATCATCAGCTCATTGAGGGTAAAGCTTGTGTAAACATGTAGCCGTCAGCTGTTCGATATGCTTGGCTTTACTGGGGATGGGGAAGATTAAGTTGAGCACCTGGTTACAGCTGAAATGCTGTACGTTACTGATACGTTCTGATGCTGTTGGTCGTGTTTTTGAGACAATATTGATTTAGAGTTTAAAGTGTTCAAAGTTTCCTTGAAGCAGCTGCAAAGATTAAACCTGTACGATGAACTCATGACATCTTCAAACACTCACAAAGACAGACACCACACACCTTTTCGTGCTCAACAAAGTCCACAAAGGCAGTCCTCTCCACCTCCACAGGTTGGCCATGTCTGTCGTAGAGCGCCAGGACAAAGTGGAAGAAGTTGGACTTGCGGAGGTTTGAGGGCGGCTGCTTCTCAAAATGAGCTCTAGACAGAGCTACTCCACTGAAGACACAACAAGAGGAGACAGTCAGCTCACACTGAACATCATTATAACAACCATGTCTGTGTGCAGTGGACCAGTTTATCCCACTGAATGCAATGACTTCTTTAAAAATTAAATTACCATCTAACAATGAACATAAGCCACTGGTGGTTGGAAATATGTCCCAAAGAAATATAAATAAAACAAACTCCAGACCAGACACTTCCCTTCTGTACTCACAGTAGATTATGAAGCTAACATTAAATATGCATTTGAAATATGTGTTTGCTTTAAAGGAGGCAGCTGTTTAATTTTTAAATGGACTTTTCTTGATTTCTCATCTGTTGCAAAATAAATAAAATAAAAATGAATCTTGAAGGCCTTCAGTTTATCCACACAGTAACAAAACTGTGAGATCATTTACCTTCTGTTTAACTGTCAAAAAGAACCAAGTTAGAACTAAAACAAAAATATTCAAAAATGAACCCAAATAGGAAAAAACATTTTTTGTTTTTTTAAAAAAAACAAACTTGTTAAAAGTCTGTTTTAACAACAACAGAACCAGGACTTTTCCTGGAACTCATGGTGGAGCATATTGTATTTAAAAACACAAAAGACTGCTGATTGGTTAATTAAAACGCATAAAAGATTCAGTCATGTGGGATTTTTATCTCAAATTAGCAGAAAAGATGAAGCAGTCTGCAGGTCTGAACAGCACAGAGCCTGCGCAGGGTTTGGTTTTTTTTTTTGTCAGTTTAACTTCGGCTGTAAAATGGCCTGTTTTATATCTTCTCAATCAAACTTTAGGATTCTACGGTGCAGATATTGTCTTATCAGCTGTAAACGTTTCTTGTGTGAACAAATAAAAAAGAGAGAAAAAGAAAGAGCCTGAGGGTTTTTTTTTCCTATAATGATTTTTAAAAAAATAAAAGGGTGTTTTAAATTAAATTTCAACGCTCCATGAAATATCTGTTTAACTAATAATTGCTATTGATGACTAACTGGTATTTTATGTTGTGTCTATTATTATATGGATTGTATAATTTAACTTGTTGCCTCCATTTTTTTGTTTGCGTTTTAATAAGTCTGTTTCTACTGTTTCTTAACGTCAGTTTGGACCATGAAGTGTGTGTGTGGTGAAGAAATTAAAAAAAAAATGTAAGGAGGTTAATTGAAAATTTAGGAGATTGTGGCGAACAGTCTGATAGTAGAGACTGAACACTAGAGAGAGACATTATTTCTGTTTATAAAAAATCCTAAATGCAAAGTGTCTGTTAGGATTAAAGTGTTCTTATCAGCTGAAGCAAAAATATTTAACTTTACGCACACACAGGTTTGAGGAATTATCTTAGTTGGTCTAAACTATAAATCTAAGTCAACCATGTGGCAAAAATTCTACAATCAGCTGCTTCTTGTTTCTGACTTTATGTAAAAGTCTAACAAATACAATCAGTAGTTTTACTTTTGGGTGACAGGCTCCTCTTTTGTGCACAACCCTGTTTTATTACCGTAAACATCATAAAAAATAATGTCAAATGTTGCTCCCTCATCATAATTAAAGAAGTTTTATGAGTTTGGGGGCAATGAGTTTTATGGGGGACTCGTGTCATTTCTTTTTTTTTTTTTTTTTTTTTGCAACAAGTAGTTTGCAGCTCTTGTCTCAAAGGACGCCTGTTCTGCTGTTAAACATTCACGCTTTATAAACTATATTGATGTCATCATCCTGATCGTTAAAATAAATTCTGTCAAGCTGCTTACAAGCCTGAGCGCAGCCGATGAAAAGCTGCGGGAGAAAGTCAAGTCAGCACATCAGCTGGCTTCGTTACTGTACCTTTGCGCCGCGACGTTCGCATCCACAACCCCGACATTACGCACCCACGACCGGACTGGATCCATCTCCTCTGCGAGACTTCTTTCTTTTAATCCGCTCACTTCTCGTATGAGGTGCTCCTGGATCCCGAACATTTAAGCCCTGTCCTGTTCGTCTGGTGCACTTTTTTTTTTAACTTGAGGAAGAAAAAAAGAAGAAACGGAGCTGGACAGTTAAAGCACTTTGGCAAACAACAGAAGGTCCACTTCAACGCGCTGCGCTCATGCCAGAGCGCCGCAGAGGGAAAAAAAACAACTGAGCGTTCGCAGTGCTTTGAGAAATAAATGAAGGCGTTTAATGCTGCAGCAGGAGCCTTAATAATCATAAAAAAAAATCCACACAGACTTTCTCTTAAGGTTTAAACGACGGTGGTAAATAAATCCCTCCACTGATCACCAGCATTGTCCAGGCGCATATCTCCAACGTCAGCTCGAGCGCAACGGATCACCTGCTCGGCTCCACGGAGCGAGAGTCTGTCTGAGGATGATGTTCTTTTAAATATGTGTGTGTGCAAGAAAGTCTTCCTTTGTCACAAGGCCAGATCGGATCAAAACAGTTGATCCGAGGGCCAGGAAGCTTGTAGTGAACTGCTGTCTTGAAGCATGAATGAGACCCTCAGCCGGGATGGAGCGTGGAGGAGGGGCCTTGGTGCCATATGGGGGACCGATTGTTGAAATGGATGCTCTCATTGGTGTAAAGTGCATCCGTTGTTTGGACTTCTGCCAGTTTCAGCATCCAACCGGTGACTGTCTCGGCAAACTTTTTCACACGTTAAGTTCGACCAGGTTGTCGGTATCGAACAATCACATTGCAGCTGTTTAAAAGCTGAAAGGACGCGCGTCTGATGTGAATTCTACGAGAAATAAATGTATTATTTTATATTTATGGAAATGAAAGGCTCCCTTTGTGTGTTTGCAGACGAGGAGTTGAGAAGGGGGGGTGCAATTAATATTATTCGTTTTATCCAACCTCACCATTACGCACAATTTTAATAAAACGTTTAGATTCTGTGGATGCTTGTTGGGATTTAATTAAACCACTTGTTAAAATTTGGGCTGTGATTTTTTTTTTCTTTTGCTCTACATGCTGCGCTGCTCCTGCCCCTGAATAGCCGGTACAGCAAATCCTGTTTGGTCTATTCATTCAAGTCAACATTTAACACAAGTGCGCTCTCGACAGGCGCGCATTCAGCAGCTCGACCGTCTGCTCCTTTGAACGCAGTGATTCCGCTGAGGACGCATCGCATCAGTGTCAGCCGCAACAATGGCCGTCTGGTTGGTCCATCAATCTCCGCCAGCAGCCGACGAGGCTGCGCTCTGATTGGCGTTTGGACCGCAGCCTGACAGTGCCCGAAATGAGTTCTTAATCAATACAACAGACTGTGTTACCCGATTCAAACTACTCCTGGAACCGGCCATGAATAGACCAACGCTGATAAGGAAATTGGTTATTCAAACGTTATTGTGATCTCTACAGAAACGTGTTCTGCGTGGATTTAAAAGTGATAATTTTCTGGAAAAGTTTCCTCTGCTGCTGAATCGGATAATTTGTTAACTTCAGGTTTATATAAAAACAATCTGAGCTCACTGGAAGATCATTTCTACTAATTTAGAAAACTATGTAAATTCATAAACTCTCCATTTTATCTGCTACAGATTCTAGTTTTTCCTTTAATATTTTAACATTATTCATCACAGTCGGTTTTGAACTAAATTTAGTGTTTAGGTTCAATCAAACCAACATTTATCATATTTTGGGGCTTTTTTTTTCCAGACTAAAAATTAATTTCCGCTCCCATTCGTCTGGCTTTGAAAAGGAAAGTTTTTTTTTTCCTTCTTCTCCCAATCCTGGTTTTCTTGCCCCCTTACCGAGACTATTGTCTCTGTGTGGAGTTTGTGCGCCTGGACAATGAATGTAAATCTCCCCCCTTTGGATCCCGCCTCAACCCACCATCTGCCAGCGCGGGACAAAGTCAGATGTTCCCCCAATTATGAGAGCAGTCTTGGGGAATCCTGCTGCCGAGTCTCCGCCCTGTCGCCGTGTCCCTCACACACTTCTCCTAACGTGACTGACAGCTCTACTTAACCCCCAAACCATGAAAAATCCATACATGATGACACATACTTCCATAGAATTCCTTCACTCAGAGTAATAAGAAAAGAAAAAAAAGCAGAGAGAGGCATTTTTTTTCTAATAAGTTGCTTGTATGGATTTATTCTGATGTTTTGGACTGTCCTCTAAAAATCACAGCTCACTGTTTTCAGTGCAAGGAATTCAAAAGGAGTTTTACAATATGGGTTGGAAATGGAAGCTTGTGGTGGTTTCCCTTGAAAAGCTTAAAGGAAACAGAAAAGATCAGTTTTTAAACTTTAAAAAATAAACTTATTTAGCACAGCAGTTGCTCAGGAGCGCTGGCACCATCAACACCAAGCATTACAAATAGTCGAGTCATCATCATGTAGAAATCTTTCACTTTGATTGAGAAGCAAATTGAACACTTTTACGCAGTTTAACCCCAAGTTCTTTTTAAAATTTATTTATTTGCTATAATAATTCATCTATTTTACTAACCAAAAACACGCTAAGTATTATTTTTTTAACAGCCTGATTCCAGTTAATACCTCACTTTTACGCATTTTATCCAAATGGCAATATTTTCATTTCATATAACGAGGATTGTCACCGCAGCCTTTTGTGTGGCTGAAGCTTGCTGTATTTTAATAAAAGTAGAAATTATTGTGCAAATGAATAAAAAATCTTCCTCTGATTTTTGCGCACAGACTCGTCTCTCTTGTTCTTCAGCCCCACAGGTGCGACAGGCTCCGGCGTGATTATCACAACCCGCAAGACTTGCTGTCTAAATGTGTGGCTTTTTTTTTTTTTTTTTTAATTTGGTGAAGCGGAGAGCCGGGGCGAAAATGGGGGATTAGTCCAACCACAAACGTCTTTCTAATCAATTTAACCCGCTGAGACGGTCAGCCCGTGCGTTTCAGGGAGGAGGGAGGGGAGGGGGGGTGGATCAGTGACTGCTAAACCAAACAATGGGGTATCGTGTGCCGCTCGTCCTCTCCAGCATTCCCCTGCTCCCGTGGGACACCCGGAGCCACTCTGTGTGGATGGGACGGTGTCCACGGAGGTCAGGAGGGGGCGTGGCGTGTGTGTGTGTGTGTGTGTGTGTGTGTGTGTGTGTGTGTAGGAGAGGAGGGGAGGGGAGGAGGGGGGTGAGCTGGAGACGCAGCAGCTGGTTCCCGTCCCTCCTCTCTCCACTGTGAAGGAAACAACAGAGCTAATGCGACCCACCACGTCTCCAATCGATCGCCATATATTGCGCACGTTTTTGTTTACTTATTTAGGCACCGATGCAGGTCCCTCAGGGAGCGTCGGCATCTGCAATTAAAGCGGGGTGATCGCCCCTAGACTCATTTCTTAATATCACAAGCCATCATCTGCTAAACCTTTGGAGAACAGTCTCCAAAGGCCCACAATCCCCTCTGTTGCAAATTTGGGGTTAAAATGTTCCCTTAAAGAAAGAAAACGAAAAACAAATACTTTTTTTTTGGATCAACTTAAATTAATTGCTTAAAGAAGTAACATGCAACTAAAGTAAGCTGATCCAGATTAGGTTAATAAGTACAATTAATCTGACTGAAATCAGTTCAGTTTGGATTTCTGCAACTTGAGTTGAAGGAAAGTCAAGTTGAAGTTTCTGATATTTCCAACTTGAGCTTTTGTTCAACCCAAAAGTAAAACAGAAAACAGGATTTTGTCATCAGATTTCTTTCCTTTTCTTTGCTCTTTAATCCTGCTCGAAGTGAAAAAGCAGTTGAGTTGCAGCAGAAGTTATCTCAGCACAATGCTAAAGGAGTAATAAAGTTCAGTTTCACCCTTTGAAAAGGACAAAGTGTAATTTCAAGTTGATAGAACCCAAACTGCCACAAAAATCAATGAGATTAATTTGAAACATGACTTTACCTCAGCTACAGCTCAGCACCACCTTTTACTGTGTGTTTGGTATGAACACATTTTGGCCAAGTGAGGAAAAAATTGGTCTACAGTAAATTAAAAACATATAGAAAAACGTATAGGGGGTCATTAATGTACAAAACCTGAGACAGAAGTTTAAAAGATCTGAACAGCACAAGAAGGCTCCATATTAGTGAAGGCTGCAGCCTGCTTCATGAAATGAGACATTTGAGTTTTCTGCTAAATTGCTTCTATAATATCAGTGCAGTTTAACATCTGCTCGGCACATTATTTCGAACTTTTCACCTTCACTGCAGACACTATAACTTGCGATACCATAAAAAGCACAGGTGTTGCATTTATGATGCTCCACTTTGAGTGATTTCAGTGTCCCACTTATTTACTTTGGTATCACAGTGTTTAGTGTGTCATGCACATACAGCCCACACGGATATAAACGACACCGAAAACGGTGTTACAGTGGTCAGATTTGTCAGGCGTGAACTGAACGTCTAACACATTGAATTGAGAAGCTAAAAACAGAACGCACAAAGCAAGGCCCTGAAACTGGACGAAGTAAATGAAACCCAGCTATCTATGATTATTACTATTAATAGTAACTTGGCAACTGTTAGGAGCTCCTTTTAACAATTAAAACTTATTATTAAAACAAGAATTATTGAAGTGAAGCCTGTCTAAATAAGAGAAAAAGTGCACCTTCCTTTTCCAGATTACCCATCAATTGTTATAAACTGCATTATGGGACTTAGGATTATTATAACGAGTGATGCTGTACATGAGGAACAAGCTAATCATGGATTCATGACTGTACAACAACTCATGGTGCACGCCAGCCTGTCGGAACAGAAATGTACTGCAGGTAAAGCTCGTCCTAATTCAGGTCTTTATTTCATCTCTTTACCTGTTTTCAGGCTGGCATCGCTACGCCATATTGTAAATATGTTGTTCCTTAATAATATCATAGTTTTGTGGTCTCCATGATTTGTTATCATTGTGGCAGAAACTTTGCATTAGAGATCATGTTCCTGCTGAGGAAAAAAGAACTCACCAAGCACTGACCAGGAGTGTTCCCAGCAAGGTCTTTCCAGTAAATGTAAAGTTTTAAAGGTGTAAATAGCGTGCTTATAAAATAATATGGTAATCTAAATACATGCTCTCCTAACATATTCTCCCTTAATTTAACCACAAGTGATAAACCTACTTTGATCAATAGTTTTGGTTGAACTAAATCTATCTCAAAGTGTAAAACTGAAAGCAAAGATTTTATTTCATAGGTTTGTTGTTTGTTTGCTTTTGCATGACATGGACTAATAATCATCTTTACTTAACAAGCAGCATTATGGCCTACATGCAGTGCAGTGACTGAAATTAATCCAAAGGTGGTTGTTCATGTGCCTGCCTTCCTTCCCATGAAAACTGGTATATCAGTGCCATCTACTGGTCAGGATACCAGTGGAGTTCTGTATCATTCACAGGCAGAGATTCATGTGCAACATTCATTTATTATTGTCAAACTTAAAAGGACTTAAAGTCTTACACTTAAACTCTGGACAAACAAAGGTTTGACCAAAAAGGAAAAAAAAAAAAGTTAAAAGTTATTATACTTATTCAATTTCAGCTTATTTAAGGTTAACCTGATAGTTTACATTCATTAGTCAAACAAAGGCTGCAAAGCAATCACTTTTTGACATTACAAAAGACAATAAAATGATTATTTTAAAAGAAAATATAACAAATCAGTTTGTTTTTTTACATTTTCACATTGTCACATTTTAGTACTTCATTAAAGTCATCCTTCCCTATTCTCCTACATTAGCAGTGCAATTATGCGTCTTCCTTCATTCAATATAAAGCTTTAAAACAGTAAAACAAAGTAATATGGTATCAAAAGATTGTGCTTTCTTTCAGTGCAGTTCACAGCAACAACAAAAAAAGTCAATTTTAAGACGTCATGTTGTTCTGGAGTGAGGTAACTCTTAATGTATGGGCTAGTAGCATATAAGAAGTGCAAAATATAGAACTAAGAGAGCAAAACTACTGATTTCTTGCAGTGTTTTGAGGGTGTTGTGGGTCAGCAGTTGTAGCAGCTCTAGTCAAACAAAAAATGCCCTGAGAAGTAGCTGTCTTTGAGAATGCTATTCCCGTCATGTTGAGCCACCAGCCACACCCTGTCTCCCTTCTCCAGCTTAAGGATGGTGGCGCCACTGGCTGTGAGGAAATTGCTTTGCCGGGTGGTAAATGAATGCAGAACCCGCTTGTTGTTACGCATCAGATCCACTTTGGCATCAAATATGTGGATCGCACAGAAAAACGAGAACTCGTAAACACCTGGCTGCTCACAAGTAAAATACCCAGTTTTGGTGTTGTAGCTCTTCTGGTCATTGTAGATTTCCACGGGGAAGACAATGGGTTTACCAGCTTGAGCGAGGTTGTTATCCAGTTGCACAGAGAAGGCAACTTTGTACGTGTTGGAAGGAGGTCCAGGGCGGCCTCTGAAACCACGTGGTCCTCTGCGTCCTGTTTGAAAAGACAAGAGCAAACATTTTAAAAGAACTTTCCCATTACAGTATTTCAAAGTAATGTTGCCAGTAAATCAATTTCAATATTTATGGATAATACTGTGAGAAATATGCTGGATGTACCTCGTGGTCCTCGTGGTCCTCGTAGTCCTCGTAGTCCTTGTGGTCCTTGTGGTCCTTGTGGTCCTTGTGGTCCTTGTGGTCCTCGTGGTCCTTGTAGTCCTCGTGGTCCAGGTGGGCCTGTTTAGAAAAAAATATTAAAGGGAAAAATCAGTAATTTCAAAATATACTTACATATATATATATATATTGTTGTGTATAAATATATTATACCATGTGTGAAGTATAGTCCTTAAGGTTTAAAATATAAGAGCAGTTACATATATGCACATAAGCATGAAACGTCTCCTTTTGGAGAAGATGCTTGGGTCTTTTCTTTACATGACAAGCAACAGATGGAGAAAAAGACGGAGGAAAAGAAGTCCATACAAGGATGCAACTACTCAGTGTGATGAAGATGGGCCCTAATTAATATATATGATTTTGTAAGTTACAGAACAATGAGTAAGTTATACAAAAGGAACCTTCTCATCACAGTATTTTTAAGCGATATTGCTCGTGTATCAGTTTTATATGTACATCTAGTACATCTAGTGCAGTGCTAGAGTTACCTTGTTTTGGTGAGGGTCCTCCTTCTGAAGAATAAAGGGAAAAATCAGTATTTTCAAAATACTCCAATGCTGGCACTGATTCAGACAATTCAGAGCATTACTCACTTTTCTCCATCCATGGACTGAGGTCAAAGGCAGGAATGTCCTTACACTTGGTGTAACCAGTACCCCGAGGTCGGAACAGGAAAGGTCTCTCAGGTACTTCAGTGATGCCGGTGTTGTCACAGATGATTCGGGCAAGTGATGTTTCTCTCAGGGAGTCCCTCTGAGCCTCAGTGAAGACG